GCTCACAGTAACGGCAGTGACTGCGGTTACTGCTCCAGTATGGAGGGCAGTGAGGCGGGCTCTAGAGAGGGCTCAGATGTGGCCTGCACCGAGGGCATGTGTAACCATGATGAAACGGGTAAAGCAACGTTATTATGATTACAGATGGTCAAACATTTGTCTATTCAACTGTGTTGACACATTGCATCTTATTCTGGAAACTTGACTGATTCAAAACCTGTGCATCCTGATTTCAGACCAGCCAGTCAGATTTTTATTTTATTTTATTTGCGAGAGTTATGATGTTTTATGGATAGTCACTTGAGATGTGATCCTGACGATATGCATGTCTGTCTTCAGGTGAATGCTCGTGTAGTCCCCACTCGGAGGAGAAGGAGGAGGACGCCGTGGACAGTTGTGTGGAGTGCTGGGCCATCTCTGAAGACGACACAAACGGCAAAAATAAGAAGAAGAAAAGAAAAAACAAGGGGTCCATTTGTGGGAGTTTACATATAGTAAGTGTTGTTAGGCCGTGTCGATTCATACCTGGCTAAACATTATATTAATCGTGTGGCACTTTGATGAAAGTGCGTTATCACACTTTACTATAAGGTTTGTTAGTTAACGGGGTGGTTGATTATTTCACTTTTCTAACTTTAGTTAGTGTGTAATATTGCTGTTTGATTTATATTTATAAACAACATCTGCAAGTCACGATGCTCAAAGTTCTGGTTTCTGGCTAAATTGTAATTTTCGTTTTGTTTCCAGTGCATCTCTGCTTGTTAATACTGAAGTTGTGGTGTTTTCCTCTCTCTCATAGGCGTCTAAAGCGGAGGAGATGTGCGTCTCGGGCGGCAGTACCGTTCACGAGTCCTCCTCTCCTTCACCACATCTGTGCAGAAGCAAAGACGAGTTGTGCTGTGAGTCCTTAGAGAGCATCCGGCATCATGTTCGCAGCGGCGAGTGTTTCCACAGTCAGCCTGTCCTGCCAGACGCGTGCACAGAGGCCAACAAGAGCCTCGTGGAGCTGCTGGTGAGTGTTCACAATACAGCCAGACCGATATTAGGCATTTTCCAAACAGTTATAATATCCGATAAATTAACCTTTCAAAAATAAAATAAAAACGGACGAAACACGCTTCAACCATGTCATGAGTGTTGGAGTTGTATAGTTTGTCCACCAGAGGGCGCTCTTGGCAACACTGGTGTATAACGCGCCACACATCCTGTGCATAAAAGTTAGCTTTTCTTTTACACACGTGTGAAATCAAACGACGCCAGACTTTCTTCCTGTAATGGATGTAGAATCGCTAAATAGGAGGTTTTAGAAGGCAGGCAGCAACTGATGAGTGAAAATCATGCCCTTAATTGGCCTTCTTTAAATATAAGACGACAAAGCCATTGGCTTCAAGTAATATTCAAATGCATCCATTTCAATTACCCTTCTTATTTAAAACAGTATTTTGTTCTTAATACTTCAATTTGAGGCACTCTGTTCAGCTTTTTTTCCTTGTCCCCTGAGCCAAGAAGACAGTTGGCAAAAGAGCTTTTATGTTTAAAGCCACTTTAGACTGGAATAATTTACCTTCGGATAGTAGATCCTTCATTTGGGATGTTTAAGTATACTTTGTCTTCTTACTTTGTCTTTGACTGCTCTTGTAATGTGTGATGCTGACACAATGTGATCCAAATGCTTATATATACATACATTTGAAATATTCAAATGTATTTCTGCCAATTTGATCTAGTGGTTGTAAAGTTCTGCATATTTTGGTTAATATTATTGTTTTTCTATTTATTTATTATTTTTTACTTTATATATATATGTGTATGTATATGTATACATATGTATATGTATATATATTTTAGGGCTGTGCAAAAATTAATTGCGATTAAACACATCCAAAATAAAAGTCTGTGTTTACATAATATATTTGTGTGTGCTGTATATAATTATTTTGTATATATAAATACCTATGCATGCATGTATATATTTAAAAATTATTTGCGCTTAAATTCTGTATATATATATATATATATATATATAAATACAAAATCTATATTATATAAATATAAATATTTTATATATGAATAACACATTTTCTTAAATATATACATGCATGCATATACAAAATAATTATATACAGCACACACAAATATATTATGTAAACACAGACTTTTATTTTGGATGCGATTAATCGCAATTAATTTTTGCACAGCCCTAATATATATATATATATATATATATATATATATGAAGAGTTCAGATGCAAAAGCCTCTAAAAGCCTCAGTAATTTCACTTAAATGGCAATGATAATTACCTATTAATTGTTATTTAAGTGAAATTACTGAACTTAAATATACAAGTTTGATCAAAATCATCATTAATGAAGAAAAGTTCAAATGGCATTTAGAGGCTTTTGCATCTGAACTCTTCATATATATATATATATATATAGTGGGGTTTTTTGTTTGTTTTGTTTTGGGTTTTTTTTTCTTTTTTTTTCTTTTTTTTTTGTGTTTGTGTTTCTGTATGTATTTGTTTGTCCAATATGTATAATTGTTCTTTTGTTTATTTGATTAGTGTTCTTTTGTGATGGCTGTGACCCCCTTGAAAACGAGATGTTGCATCTCAAGGGGTTTATCCTAATAAATAACATTTACTTTTTTTTTAAAATGGTTTGATGTAGCTTGATGGAAAGAATTTAAAAAGGGATAAGCAAGCTGACATTGTAATTATAAGGTAGCTTATACATGCATTACATAATTATAAGCTGTCTAATTCTAATACATACATTACGGTCCAATAATGTACTTTAGTCAGTTCATACAAAAAAAAATGTGAAATGTGAAATTTTTCACTACTGTTTGTTTATCGAAATAGGTGCATATATTGATTTATTGATTTATTTTTGCACAGAATGAATCTGAAGTGACCTCGGATGAAGAGAACTGCCTGACACAGGACGAGATCCAGTCGTTCGTGGAGAACAACAAGTCCTTCTACCGAACACGAGACCAGTACAGACAGCACCTTAAAGATCGCTTCACCAAATACTGCCGCGGAGAGTGGCTGCCCACCGCACACGCTCACTAACGCACACTTACTTTTATAGACCGTCAAAACACTCATGATGATCACTGCTGCGTCGTTGCTTTATTCAGGGAGGAATTTGGGAATATGAAATGGGCAAAAGAATCAATGTTTTTTGGGTAAAGGTCCACGTCGTTTTCGCATCTGTACACACGTCTTCCCCTTCAGGCTCCTCCTCTTTCACTTCTCAGCCAATCACAGCTGGCTTTGTTTTCCTTTCTCTCTCGACACGGTGATTAGGGAGCAGGTCGTTAAAATGATAATCGAGCTTGGCTGTAGGGTTAGATGTCGGTAGTCTTAACGTATTGTTTGTGAAGCATTTCTTTGTTTTGTTTTTGTTTTCTCCCAGACTGTGAGCGTTTTAGTGGCGAATTGTACCGATAAATGTGTACAGGAATAAAATGATCTGAATCATGGATTTTACAGGAAGATGAAAACATCCATTTATAAAGAAGATTGGATGTGATGATGAAAGCAATGTGCAAAATTTACTAAATAAAGAATATTTATTAATATGCATCAGATTTGAATGTTTCATGTCTCTTGTGAGTGTTGGTTGGCATATAAAAACATGACTTAAGTTCCCATGATAGGCTGGCAAACAGCTTGTTTTATTTATTATTTGCAGCTTTATCTTATATTGTAAATGTTGAAATTAGTCAGCCACTAGATGGCGTGTTTTTTTTTTTAATAGACAATAAAAAGTGACTAACAAATTATCTAAATATAATATCACCTGATGCAAAACTGTATCAAGAGTTTTAAAGTTTTTACTTTGTTTGCTTGTTTTTCTTTATTTGTGTGTGTGTGTAAAAGTGTTCACTAAAATGCTTTGTCCATATATTGTTGCCAGCACTTCTTTTATTTTTTAAAGCAGATTTCTTAACAAATTTTCTTAAGTTCAATGTAATTTTTATTAGACAACTGATGAGAATTTACACAATATGTCCCCAATATTAACAATATACTCTACACATATGATGTCAAGTGACATTTCTGACCGGTTTTAATTTAAAAGGAACGTGATAGAAAATTTGCTCCCTTAAATTTTTAAGTTCAACCAACTTGGATGTTTTAGTAAGTTCAACTTAAATTTAACTGACTTAAAAAAATAGTTGAATATTGTATACCATTTTTTAAAAAAGTTGAAAATTGCTTAACTTACTTTGAGTTAAAGCAATGTAAAAACATATGTTGTAATAACAAACCTTATTCTTTTTGCGATCAATATTTTTTATTTTGAGTTAACATACCAGATACAAATCAAGGCTCACTGAACTACATACAAACAGATGCCATGAAAACTCTCCACATATAAAATATATATATATATATATAAAAATATAAAAATGAATAAATAACAAACCTTATTGATTTTTATTTATTCGTTTTTTGTTTACAGTGCACACGTTCATTCATTCAACGTATTGCATTCACTTGAGGAAACAAAATCTACAGTTTTTCTGAATTAACAAGTTAATTATATCCGAATTACTAGAGAATTTTTCATAGAAAAAGTTTTTCTTAATTAATGAGTTAATTATCTAAGAATTATGAGATATATTTTTCTTGAAAAACATTTTTTTCACTCTGTTTTTATGAACTAATGAGTTACTCATAATTTTATTATGAGTAACTCAAACGGAGCATACACTTTTTTTTCTGTTTAAAATTATCTCGTAATTCTGAGATAATTAACTCGTTAAATCAGAAAAACGGAGTAGACTTTTTTTTTTCTTCAAGCGAATGCAAAATGCTTCCGTACAGTATAAATTAATAAATGAAAACAAAACAAAAAAGGCGCGGACGGTGACAACAACCTAATTTATTTTTGCTTCGGTCGTTAATTATTAATCGCGGGTTCTGCTGGGATTGGATCCGTGTGTGTGTGCGAGCAGAGGGAGGGTTGAAGTGATTAGTTCCCGC